ACCAACTCGGTACACATCAGATGCGCATTCTTCACCTGACCTCAGCGGATATAAATACTCTTTCCCTTCCCCCCCCGGTAGTTCTGTTTGTGATTTGAAAAGCCCACTGTGGGGGCAAAAACGTAGTCAATAAAGGATCACATTTACTGCTTTTTGTGTTTTTTTCCCATAGTGAACCATCGCCAAGAAACTTCTTCATCGCTATCCCACATAAGAAATAGAACACTGCAGAAGGTCTACTCACAACTTGCCAAAACCCCACCCCAAGCTCCCCAAAGGGACTCATAACTCCACCCCGGAGATCACAGATGGGCATTCTCCCCCTGCCCTCAACATTCCGAATATAAATACCCCTCCCTTTCCCAAACCCCCAGGTAGATCCAGTGTGACTTGAAAAACCCCATTTGGGGGTGAAACGTTGCAATAAAGGATCACATTATACTGTTTTGTTTTTAATTTCCATTGTGTCGGTATTTTTTTACCATTTTTTTTCCACCACCTCACCGTTCAGCGGACCATCCCACCCAGCGACCGCCTCACCCAGCCCCACACTCACCGTTCAGAGGCCCACTCCCCACCCCAGCAGAACATCACCCCAGCAGCACCCCTCATCCAGCCCCCACTCCCCGTTCAGCGGACCTACCATCCAGCAGCCCCGTATCATCCAGCAGACCCCACTCCCCGTTCAGCAGGACCACTACCATCTCGGACTGATGTGTATGGGGGTACCAAGCACAGTATGGGGGGGGTGAGCGAGTGTTATCATTTGTAATACCAAATAAACACCTTGACCACACCTTGCTTCGTGGGAAAGATGTTGGCGTCTTCGGGGTCCTGTAGGAGAGTCGAAGCAGTGAGGGGGGGGGGAGGGGGGAGGGAGGGGGGGGAGGGAGGGGGGGGGGAGGGAGGGAGGGAGGGGGGAGGGAGGGAAGGGGGGGAGGGGAGGGGGGGGAGGGGGGGGGAGGGGGGGAGGGAGGGGGGAGGGAGGGGGGGAGGGAGGGAGGGGGAGGGGGGGGAGGGAGGGAGGGGGGAGGGGGGAGGGAGAGAGAGAGGGAGGAGAGAGGGGGGAGAGAGAGAGGAGAAGGAGAGAGGGGGGGGGGGGGGGGGCGAGTGGGGAAAGGAAGGGAAGAATGAAAGGGAAAAATGGTGTTTAGAAGACCCCAAAGAATCACTTGGAAAAAACAAACGGGTAATTACAAAAATAAATACCAGGAAAATAAAAAATTTATCACCCAAATACGTTTTAACTCCGGTTATTATTTTATTGTTAAAAGAATTTAAGGCAAGTTTTTCGTACCATCCCATTGGCACTCTTAAAATTTCCACCATTTTTTTTTATCCCAAAATTTTACCCTAATTATTAGTTCCCTATTGAAATTTTTCCCTCACAAAATTCTCCCTTTTTTTCATTACCTTTAAAATTAATTATAATTTTCTTTTTTGGGGTTTTTTAGATTAAATATCCTACAATATATTTTTTTCCCCCTTTTTTGTTTTCCAAAGTTAATTTTTCTTTTCTGAGTTCGAAATGGGTTCAAGGTTTAAATGGGGTTTAATTTTTTCACCCTCTCTTTTCGAAATTTCATTTTTTTTAAAACCCCCCAAACCCCACTGCCGGGGTTCACCTTTATTTTATTTTTTTTTTTATTTTTTTTTATATAAAAAATTTATTTTTTTTAATTACTCCCAAATCTTCACTTTATTATGATCAAGTTCTACACAGTGTTATTTTAGTCTATTTGCATTGTTTTTGTCACCCCCTTGGATTAGGTATGGCGTGCGTTTAGATATGTTTATTTGATTCAACGTGTTGAAAACCCATTGAAGAAGTACCCCAGTGAACTAGTAATCCGAGTGTAGCAGTTCTGGGTTCCCCACTGTATTTGGTTCAAAAACAACCAATCCTGAGTGCCCGCGAATTCCCAAAAGTGACACTTCATCTTCAAGGTAAAATACAGAGTGTCAGGGCTGCCCCTCTTGGGTTTGAGTAATGTGCTGACAGTGGTTTACTTGATCCCCCATTGTTAATACTCTCTCTAATTTTATACTATTGTGATGAAGGAATACACCCGTAAAGGAAATTTTTTTCTATTTGGTTTGCCTTGTTCCTTGCTGTGCTCAGTTGGGAGTTTTGATTTAATAAGAACTAAAAAGAAGGAAACACTACAACAGGCTATGACCCTGCAGACAGGTCCTGTCCCCCCCGGATTAGACCCAAAGCCCCCCCCCCACGGATTAGACCCAAAGACCCACCCCGTCTGGTATCTCCACTAAGGAAGGAGCACGGCCCAGACCCCGCGACAAGCTAGTCAGGGGCCAATACACCCCCCCACACCCCTGTGTGTTTATCAAACCCATTTTTAAAATAAAAGGTTTTGCCTCAATAAATGTACTCGGGAGTTTGTTCCCCTCATCCCAACTCTATTACCAAACCAGTGCTTTCCTTTTTTCCCTTCCCGAATCTGAATTTTTCAAACTTGAAACCATTGCTGCGAGTCCTGTCTTGGCTGGAAATTTTCATCCCCTATTTAATCCCCCTTTTTTTTTCCCGTTTTCCATTTTACCCCGATTATCCCCCCCCAATTCTACGCCTTTTGAGAGAGTGCAGATTTGAGCCAAGGCCAAAGAGCACACCTGTCTTTAATATTTGCAGTTTCCCTACTGAATTTTATCTGTTACTTTAATTTATTCAAAATTTTCCCGATATGAAACGATTCATCAAATAAGTAGTTGCCTAATTTTTGGTCATCAGCAATTTATTTTTATTGTTATAATTTTTAATTTTATACTGAAAAGTGGATCAGTCTGCCTTGGTAGGCGTGGCCAATGAAGTATTTTGTTTTAAATAAGCATTAAAGCATTATTGGTGATCCAACACTACCTGGAGTCTACCTGGAGGTTATTCCGGGGATCAACGCCCCCGCGGCCCGGTCCACGACCGGGCCTCCCGGTGGATCAGGGCCTGATCAACCAGGCTGTTACTGCTGGCCGCACGTAGTCCAACGTACGAATCACATCCCGGCTGATCCAGCACTGACTCTTATATGAATAATTACAAGTGTGATACTTCCAGAGGGATAACATATAATGATGGTCCCACCTGTGTAGAATGTGGTGTTGATGCATGTAAGAGAGAGCAGAGACTATCTGGTGGAACAAGATAAGAATCTCCAGTTCATCAATACGCTTGACTCTCTGTGTGAGGTACTGAGCCAGGCTGCCACCATCAGCGTACTCCATCTCTATACACAACACTGTGTCCCTCTCGAAGCTGTCCATGTAGCTGCAAGAAAACATCAATAATAAACACAATAGCTAGTAAATACAACATTATAAAGAAGTAGAAATGAATTTGTTTACTGGAAGCCAAGCCGCTGCATAAGTTTATTCTTAATTACTGCATGAAGGATCGAGTCCTACTATACCTCACTAACCTGATAATGTTAGGATGGTCCAACATTGCCAGAACATTAACCTCGTTGAGAGCCATCTGACGCTCAGAAGCTGAGAGTTCCAGCATGTTGATCTCCTTGATGATAACCATTACTTCATCTTCCTTGCGACGGTACAACACAGCACTACCAAAAGCACCTGCAAACACAGTCAACCTTCCTTAAAACTAGACGTCACACTCTAAGATTCTGCAGCAATGCGACTGTAAAATTACAACCAATTTTAATACTACGCTATGTTAAGCGAAAATCTCGATATTACGCGAAAATCTTGGCATTACAGTTAAACGTAAATTACTGAAACTACAAGTTTTAGCTTCAGGTTTGTGTAAGTTTTGTAAGTTTATTCAGGTATACACAAATACAGTTACATAGATTATCATACATAGCAGCATATGTGTACAGAACCTAGGATAACCTAGGATAACACTCAAACATTGGGTACTACAAGCAATGGAACAATGGAATTTCCGACAAACGTTAGCCTACCTTAGTGTAAAAATATAGTGATACCATAGTGTACAATTTGTGGAAATACGATAAAGTGAAGGGAAGCGACAGACTAAATAATGTCAAACCAGCCAGGGTGTAAAAGAACTGCCAGCGGTCACAAGTACAGTCAACACGCAAGTGCACCACAAGTAAACATGTAGCAGTGTGCAGTGAAAGCTAAGTTGATATTTGATTAGTAGCACACTCAGCTCACACACTGAGGTCCGGGGTTCGATCCCCGGTACGGGTAGAAACATTAGGATGTGTTTCCATAAAATACCTGCTGTCCATGTTCACCTAGCAATAAAATAGGTACCTGGGTGTTAGTGGACTGGTGTGGGTCGCATCCTGGGACAAAACTGATATAATTTTCGGGAAATGCTCAGCATAACAAGTGACTTTCTATATAGTAATAGTATTGATTCAGCTAGGACTGTATACCTTGTACAAGTACTTGTAGAAATAAAGATTATTATTATTATTATTATTATTATTATTATTATTATTATTATTATTATTATTACAAATCATTATATAAGCAGTGATATATACTAGCCTCAGATCACGAAGGTTGTATAAGTTGCCAGCGGTCACAGTCAAATACTTCTCTTAGTACAAACCTTGGTTATAAATACCGACAAGTTGGTTTAGAAAGACACGTAAACAAACACTATGACACATTTACTAGAAAACGTTTCGGTCCTGGGACCTTGATCACTTCTAACATATAGAGGTAGAAAGAACATATATACAGGGAGAGAGTGAGGTGTGAGTGACACATGGTGACCTGAGGAATGTCATGTTGGGATGAGGACGGGTAGACGATGAAATCATGTGACTCCTGTGTTGTTGGGTTGGTGGTGCTTAAGTATCATGTTTACCTGCAGTATACCTGGAGAGAGTTCCGGGGGTCAACGCCCCCGCGGCCCGGTCTGTGACCAGGCCTCCTGGTGGATCAGGGCCTGATCAACCAGGCTGTTACTGCTGGCTGCACCCATTCCAACATACAAGCCACAGCCCGGCTGGTCACGTACCGACTTAAGGTGCTTGTCCAGTGCCTGCTTGAAGACAGTCAGGGGTCTATTGGTAATCCCCCATATGTACGCTGGGAGGTAGTTGAACAGTCTCAGGCCCCTGACACTTATTGTATTGTCTCTTAACGTGCTAGTGACACCCCTGCTTTTCATTGGGGAGATGTTGCATCGTCTGCCGAGTCTTTTGCTTTCGTAGTGAGTGGTTTTTGTGTGCAAGTTCGGTACTAGTCCCTCTAGGATTTTCCAGGTGTATATAATCAAGTATCTCTCCCGCCTGCGTTCCAGGGAGTACAGGTTCAGGAACTTCAAGCGCTCCCAGTAATTGAGGTGTTTTATCTCAGTAATGCGCGCCGTGAAGGTTCTCTGTACATTTTCTAGGTCAGGAATTTCACCTGCCTTGAAAGGTGCTGTTAGTGTGCAGCAATATTCCAGCCTAGATAGAACAAGCGACCTGAAGAGTGTCATCATGGGTTTGGCCTCCCTAGTTTTGAAGGTTCTCATTATCCATCCTGTCATTTATCTAGCAGATGCGATTGATACAATGTTATGGTCCTTGAAGGTGAGATCCTCCGACATAATCACTCCCAGGTCTTTGACGTTGGTTTTTCGCTCTATTTTGTGGCCGGAATTTGTTTTGTACTCTGATGAAGTTTTAATTTCCTCATGTTTGCCATATCGGAGTAATTGAAATTTCTCATCGTTGAACTTCATATTGTTTTCTGCAGCCCACTGAAAGATTTGGTTGATGTCCGCCTGGAGCCTTGCAGTGTCTGCAATGGAAGACACTGTCATGCAGATTCGGGTGTCATCTGCAAAGGAAGGCACGGTGCTGTGGCTGACATCCTTGTCTATGTCAGATATGAGGATGAGAAACAAGATGGGAGCGAGTACTGTGCCTTGTGGGACAGAGCTTTTCACCGTAGCTGCCTCGGACTTTACGCTGTTGACTACTACTCTTTGTGTTCTGTTAGTGAGGAAATTATAGATCCATCTACCAACTTTTCCTGTTATTCCTTTCGCACGCATTTTGTGCGCTATTACGCCATGGTCACATTTGTCGAAGGCTTTTGCAAAGTCTGTATATGTTACATCTGCATTCTTTTTGTCTTCTAGTGCATCTAGGACCTTGTCATAGTGATCCAGTAGTTGAGACAGACAGGAGCGACCTGCTCTAAACCCATGTTGCCCTGGGTTGTGTAACTGATGGGTATCTAGATGGTTGGCGATCTTGCTTCTTAGGACCCTTTCAAAGATTTTTATGATATGGGATGTTAATGCTATCAGTCTGTAGTTCTTTGCTATTGCTTTACTGCCCCCTTTGTGAAGTGGGGCTATGTCTGTTGTTTTTAGTAACTGTGTTCATGCTCCCTCTCCATAGGATGGTAAAAGCTCGTGATAGGGGCTTCTTGCAGTTCTTGATGAACACGGAGTTCCATGAGTCTGGCCCTGGGGCAGAGTGCATGGGTATGTCGTTTATCGCCTGTTCGAAGTCATTTGGTGTCAGGATAACATCAGATAGGCTTGTGTTAACCAAATTCTGTGGATCTCTTATAAAAAATTAATTTTGATCTTCAACTCTCAGTCTGGTTAGCAGCTTGCTAAAAACTGAGTCATATTGGGACTTGATTATCTTAAATCGATTTAAGGTACACGTGTGTCCTCCACAGAGGCTCGACGGGGCATTTGATGAACTGGAATGAGGCACAACGCGTTCTCATCGAACCAGACCTCAGACGCCAACGGTGCCTAGAAGCCTCACTAATCACCGTCGCCGACACTATAGAATGTAACACTGGAAACCACAAAAATTTCAAAAACATTAGCATACATGATACTTAAGCACCAGCAACCCAACAACACAGAGTCACATGATTTCATCGTCTACACATCCTCATTCCAACATGACATCTTCAGGTCACCATGTGTCACTCACACCTCACTCTCTGCCTATAATGTCTTTCTACCTCTGTATGTCAGAAGTGATCAAGGTCCCAGGGCCGAAACGTTTTCCAATAAATATGTCATAGTGTTTGTTAACGTGTCTTTCTAAACCAACTTCTTTTAGTGCACTTTTTACACAGCTAGCCTACCTAGATCTGTCAATGTGTACCAGAGGTAATGTTGATGTTCATGGCATTGAAACTATAAATAAACTATAAAACATTACATATATCCAACATTCGTAAATAAATTACCAACATGAAAACCTGTGTACACCAACAATAGTTCCAAGCAAAGTATTAATAGTGCAGAACGTTATTTCTGCAAGAAATGGTGTCATGGTTCATGTGCAAATATCCAGCAATTTACCACTACTGAATTAAAACAGGGAATGTTCTTGTGTCTGCCAGAGTGACAGAAACAGTGGAGAAAATTTCATATGTACTAAAAGACAGAAACACTAACAAAAAAAATATTCTTTTTGGACAATTTGACAATCTTATATGACAGCTGGGAAAGTAAAGAGAGTGGTCAGCTGGAGCTGTCATCCTGGTGCTGTCTAGGAAGACAGTACCTGTAAAGATATAGAAATACAAGACAGTGCAGAAGATGTAGATAGTGCTATTGGTACTGAAGAAACAGGTAAAGACCAAGACATACGACTTCCAGAAATACAAAAATAGTAGTACTACTGAGATGGAAAAAAGAAGAGGGATAACGCTAGGGGGAATAGTGTTGATACATTACCAGTAATAACTGGTGGTGGTACTACTGCTAGTACAGGTGTTGCAGATAGTGGGGAGTCAGAAAAACTGCACAAGTAGGGAACTCAGCCACAAAAAAAATCCTGGCAAACAGAAATCAAATCTGTGCAGATTCTATGCCTTGGGTATCTGTAGGTATGAAATATCTGGAAAAACAGGTGGGATGTGCAATTTTGACCATCCAAAACAATGCCGCGACCTCGTGATCAAAGGAAAATGCTATTCTTCTTGTAAACTATTTCACCCTGGTAAAATATTTCAAAGGGACAAGAAAGTACAGATCACACAGACCTTGGAAAATACACCAGGGTAGTTCCAACCTCTCTACAGACATTTTTTTGTGTCAGAAAGAACAAAAACTGGCAGGAAATGGCAAAAAAATACTACAGCACCTTGGATCACTACTGGAGTGGAGACACAGTCAGTGACCTCCACTCCAGGACAACACACATTACTGCCGGCAAATAAAGTCCCCTACATACCATCAATACGACAACATTTGTATTTGAAAATATACAGGGTCTAAAGCCATTAACTAATAACAAAATACTTTCATCAGTGGACTCCTCACAGAGTCTAATGCAAAGTTTGCAGCTTTCGCAGAGACCCATATAAAGGATCACTTTGATAGCGAAATATGGATCCCAAGTTATAACTTATTCAGGTGCGACAGAAGGGAGGATCGGCCTGTATGTCACGGAGTCGCTCATTTGCTCTGAATTGCTAAACACTACAAATGATGTAGTTGAAGTTTTGATAGTAAGGACTGAAAACCAAAACCTTATCAGTGTGGTTGCATACAAGCCACAAGATACAACTTCCCAACAATTCAGGGAACAGCTTTTGAAAATTGACCACTGTCCAGAAAATCTTCCAACCCCAGTCCCACACATCTTGTTTTTGGGTGA